CAGATTAGATCTATTTCTATTTTTCCAGCGACAGATAAGGTTCTTCCTCTACTTTTATGTCAAACTCATACAAATTCATCATGAATCGCTGCGGCGTTCAGAAAAAATCATGTCGCCATCGACAAAGCGTTTAGATAATGAAGATAACAAATTGGAGGCTGTATCCTGTAGCTCGTCGTTTTCAATGTGTTCAGCACTTAAGTGTCCCTTCTTATTTCAAACGGGTTCTCAATTCGTGGCCAGACTATGTAATGTAGTATGTACATAAGAGTGTTGGTGCATCAGTTTATTGGATGTGGCCAAGCATCGACAGACCTGTCAAGACATGCAATTTGTTTTAACACATCGTTATAACCATAACCTGAGTACGCTCTCACCCAGGCCAGCGATCCAATCAATTAGTCAAAAAAGTACAAAATGCATCCGTCAGCATCTCATAAATAAATTGGTGACCGACCGGTAAGCGTGGTTTGCAATTATCACCTCATGATCTTCAGCGCTTGTGTCCCAATTGTATTTACAGGTCTTTATATTTTTTTTATACTATGTATGTATGTTCATATGTAAGTACATATTTCTGTGTGTATGCAAACTACTTCAATGTACAATTTGGATTCAAAAGTCGAACACCGATGCACTCTGATGCGGCTTCCTTTTACCCAGCGCCGTAATTACAGTCTGCCATAATTGTGCGCCATTTAACACCTTGTTGACGCAGCATCTAATTATATGGTGTGAGAGTGTAAGCATAACATATATACATATGTATGTACGTATATACATACATGCTTTGAGGACCACGCGAAATATTGCAATGACAATTTCACTTCACAGCAGTCAATTTGTCCGCTTACATAACCAGTATATATAATCAAAATCAGCCAAATCGGCCGTTAGACATAGAACTTAAATTTTTTTCGCTGGAATCGCCCATATGTAGCCTACATATCGATGGCTGAGTGGTAGATCGACCTATTTGGGCAACGCCCTATCTCAGAAAAATTTTCAACAACGCCCTATTTCAGAATTTTATTGAAAAACACCCTAACTCAAAATTCGTTTCAAAAACGCCCTATCTCAGCTGCCGATCCATATCATATCTCATTTTCAAAGTATTTTCGTTTGAGATAGGGCGTTCTTCAACCAAATTCTGAGATTGGATGTTTTTCAAAATGATTTGGGAATGCTTCCATACAACTTGTATGATAAAAGTACCCATTTCGCAATTTCAATCAAATATTTACCAGTTAATTATATTATTTAATTGTACAAGTTTCCCTGCTGTAGCGAAAATTTCAGCCAAATCCTTTTCAAGGACTTCGCCATCCTTTGCTACCAAAATGCGTTTAACACAATTCATACTGCACGACGAAGCCAGCACACAGTGGTTCAAAATTGGAATTTAATGTTGCGCCGGAGCCTTTATTTTTCAACTAATTTTTACTAAAACCCAAAAAAAAATATTTATTTTGGTGAAAATTTTTTATAACATTTCAAAATTTTGTTTTGTGTATTTTTTTTTTTTGCTACTTATGTAACTGCATTTTGCACTAAAAAATTTAATATAATCAAATAAAAGTTCAGAAATCAGGCTCAACTGGTCTCTTGCAAATATCGTAAGCTTTCATAAAAAAAAAAAATAAAAATTTAATGAAAAATTAAGGCTCCAGTGAATTATGAACACTGAATGCTCGAAACAAACTGGCAAAGGTTTTTCATTATATTTTATAAGGGACATTTTTATTTTTCATATTCTGCGTTTAAAAATTTACCTCGGAAAAACGCAGAGCCGATTTAAAGGACAGTTTAAGAATTAAATGACAAAAGGCGTCTTTTATTTTGAAAAAAATTATAAAGGACAGGGGGTTAAAATAAAGGAAGGATGGTCACCGTTTCGTATTCCGGGACCTATTGGTATTGAAGGGAACGAGATTGCCGATAAACTGGCGAAGAAAGTTGCATCAACCCCTTTTATCGGCTCAGAGCCCTTCTGTGGCTTAAGAGAAGGGTTAGAGGGAGAGGCTCAAAGAAATCGCTACTGGGATAATCTACCAGATCTAGAGCAGTCCAAACCACTCTTAGGAACATATAACCTAAAACGCTTTAAGGGATGTATGAGCTTATCAAAGAATAACTTAAGAATTGTTACAGGAATCCTGACAGGACATTGCAGGCTTAATTATCATCACCTGACTAAACTGGGAATTTACTCGCATGAGCGATGCAGATTTTCCAGGATGGATAACGAGACTACACAGCACATCTTAGAAGAATGTCCTGCACTGATACACAAACGAAAAAGACACCTGGACGAACATCTAATAACCAAGGGCGAAGTGAAATCCGTAGATTTAGGTTTCTCTCGGACACTGGATTGATATACACACTATAAATCCATGAAGAGGGCATAATAAATCTTAAGGCCGCAATGCTTTATCTCCAACAATAATAATAATAATGTCAACGAAATTTCGATCAGCTGTACCAAAAACTTGCTAGTTTTTGCTACTTTTGCGTTCGCGTACTTTTGCAAACATTTCTCTCCTGGAGGGAGAACAGATAAAAATTCATTTCAATTTTGTTGTTGAGATTTTCTGCTGGAAGAATACGCGAGTACACCTAATAATGCAACCCTGTGCCACAATCCTCCTTGTAAATTCTTGCTGTTAAAAATTTTACCAGCACGAATTTGCAACTTCCCCTCCAAATAAAATGTCAAAATTGTGCTCTCTCCTTGCAAGTTTTGCAAAATGATAGTTGTGATCCCGTAAGAGTTCGAACTTACCATTTTTTACCAGAATTTACCAGATTTTAATGTATATTGATCCCGTACTCGGTTCTATGGCAACTGAGAGGACAAATAAGCGAGTAAATACTAGAAGTTACTAGTTTTAGTCCGAAGATTTTTTCGCTGGCAAATGTGTGAAACGATCAGCTGTAGTGCGATTGACAACCAAATTGTAAACAAAAGAAAAGTGCACTTTGTGAATGCATGTTATAAAATATTTAATTACTTGTGTCAGTAGATTCTAATGAATTTGTAAGTGTTTTTGGTGATTTACATGTGAGCTGAGTGTGTTTACTTACGAAATAAGCAAAATTTTACAAGCAAAATTTGGAGGTTATGTTGAAGTTGTCAAAAGTTACCATTTTTTACTAGAAAGCGATCCCGTACTTTTCAGTGTTACTCTCTCGTTCTGAGCGAACTTATATTTTTTTTACAGTTTGACTAGATTAGGAATACGGGATCAAGCCTAAAGGAATGAGATATTTTGATCAGTTTTGGCTTTTTTTTTTGTTTATTTAATATTTAATATTTTGTAAACGTCTAGCTGGTTATACAACAAACACCATATAAATTTACATTTCAAACTTTGTACAAAAACTATAAAAATTCTGCAATTTTCATCAAAATTTAAAACTATTTAATCAGAATCTTTAAGGCCTGTTTCTAGCTCTCAAGAAAAATTAAAAATTCATATAAAATGACGCACAAGAAATGCAAAAGAAATTTTTTTCTATAAAAATTTCTTAAATCAGTTTGCAGGTCTCAAGAAAAAAATGCTCGTATATTTATTTCTTCAAGAAAATTTACAGCAAAGTCAAATTGTTTCTTAAAGCAACAGAAATAATGAAACAATTTCTAATGATTTTTCTTGATAGCTGGATTCCAAGCTTTAGAAAAAATGTTGGTATGCAGTTTTGTAGCCCATTTAATTCAAGTGCAAGTTTCAAGTTGGTGAAAAATCCGTTTGATTTTTGAGAATTTTTTCCATACAAAGTATGTTCGACAATCTTGTTTTATATGGAGGACACTGCCAGCTATAAAAAAATTGCCAAAAGTCAACGAGATTTTTTAGCAGCTTGAAACTTGCACTTCATTAGACTAGAATTAAATGGCCTGCAAAACTGCATACCAAAAGTTTAAAATTTATAATTTTTGTACAAAGTTGTAAATTTTTATGGTGATTGATGTGTAATCAGCTAGACTTTTATAAAAAAAATAATAAACATTAAATTGACAAAAGTCAAATTGCCAAAACTGATCAAAATATCGCACTCCTATTATTGTATACACATGTACATAAGTTTATATACATATAAATACGTATATATGTACATACAAAATAAGCCTAAAAATGTGTAACATGATAACCATAAGAAAAAATGTATAAATTGGGGCATATCGTCAACTGAGTGGAATATCGCCTTATCTCGGCAGCCAGTTCAAAAACGCCCTATCCCAGAAAACTTTTCAAGAACGGCCTACTTCAGAATTTGATTGAAAAATGCCCTACCTCAGCACTTTTCCAAATTACATATTTTCAGCTGAGATAGGGCGCTTTTGAACCGAACTCTGAGATAGGGCGTTTTTCAATAAAATTCTGAAATGTGGCATTCTTCAATCAAATTCTGAAGTAGGGCGTTCTTGACAAGTTTTCTGAGATAGAGCGTTATTCAACTTCCACTCAGGGAACGATATGTACTTTGCTTATAGCTTTGATCGTACATATTTTTAGGCTTCGGAATATTGCCTAAGCTCAAAGTATAGTCTAGAACCAGCTCATTTATTTGTACATTCACCAGCTTCAAGCATCCGCCTCTGTCCGCATACTTTCTTTCATCACACTTAGGCAGATATACACATATGTACTATACATACATACATATATACACAGCAGATTCAAAGCATGCAGCCATTGGGTATATGTTTTAGTATCTTCATCTACTACCGGTTTGCTAGACGACTTTCTTTTTTGGTAATTTTGATGTACTTTTTCACTTTTGATTTGGTGTGCGCCATTTACGGCATCTTTGCTCTTTGATACCAGTATAATATAGTGTATATGTACTACGGTATATATGTTTGTAGGTTTCTCAGACCCGTTTTCACATAAGAAAAAAATTTTCTTAATTTTTATTTACATACATACACATGTAATTACTTTTATCGAATTTACATATTTGTATATAAAAAATGTATGATTTTAGTTTCAGAATTTCATTTCGCGCGTACATACATACATAAGTACATAAAAATATAGGAAATAACTTACTTTATACAAGATCTGTTAATTTCATTGAATTTTAAATAAAAATGTGCGAATGGGAAACGTTACAAATGCGCTATTCCATATGAGATATGATAAAGGTATGAGAAGTTTTTATCGAAAATCTCGATGATCGCACCCAGAAACCTTTGATTAATTTAAAATTATTTCACAGCATTCTATCTATCCAATCAGATAAGTTATTTAATTGATTTTCCTTTGCGGAGCTTTCAAAGAATTGTACATTTTGCTGAACGTGTGAAAACTCAAAATCCTTGCCATCTTTACCCAAAAACACAGACTTAGAGGGATCATCCTCTCCCACTGATTGTAATTTACGACTACGAGTCACCCGTACGATATTCCTGGAAAAAAATTGGCAAATTAAATTTACATGTTTTTATTAGATTCAACCATTAATCGGCCCACTTACAATTCTTTTTCCAGTACGCTTCTTATAACATGTGCGCTTTTTGCCGTGCTGAGATCTTGTTTATTGCAAAGCACCAACACCGGACAAGACTGGGTAGAAGCATCTGTGAGCACACTGTAAAGGGCGCTATTTATTGAAAGAAAAATTGAGTTGATGATACGAAGCATACATATTTATGTATATTTGTTAATAAACTTATTGGGTACTTACTCAGCCACGTCTCGAACTTCTTTTTGTACAGTCACAGAATCCACCACAAATATTATCCCTTTAGCAGACCGTTTGTACTGATCAAAGCATTTATCCCGCACTCTATAATGGCCAGGAATGTCGATAAGACGACCGGACATGCGACCAGAACGGTATTCTCCCAAATTTTCCGTAATAGAGGTGAGAGTATTCGGAAATTTATTATGTAGGATTTGCATAAATATTGCGCTTTTCCCAGACTCGGTTAAACCGGTTAAAAGGAAATCTCGACGACCCAGCGAACGCCTCCGCAATATCAATATAATCGCTGCAAATGCATAAAATTTGTACCCCTTTATTTACAAACCAGATATTTATGTGCACTAACCCATTATAATGAAACCCAAAACAGCAGCTAACAGGATAGGTGTCATGTTCAGCTCCGATATATTCGTGGTTGCATTTTCTCCATCAGTTTCACTTATTTTATCCATTTTTATATATTATATTTTGTTAAATTATTATATTTAGTTTGCTATGGACTTTTCGTTCTTCATCTGTCCAATAAGAATACCAAACAATAGTCGCAGCAATGAGGTGACAGCGCGTATCGACACGACACGCACTCAATAGTAGTGTTGCTGTTCTGCGTAGAAGTGGAAATATATCGACGATACTATCGGTATATCGATAGTTTGTGTTTCAGAAAAATGCTATGGACGTTTTAAGACTATCGATATTATCGGCTGTAAAGCTTTGGTTTCCACGAAAGCAGTATGTAGCGGTCGTAACTTTCGTTTTTATGTAAATATGACCTGTTTTCAACTAAATTGACGACAATACACAACGTATGTGATTTGACAGCACCGTAAAGGCCCATCCACATAAAACTTTGGCGTTGCGTTGGCGTTGGCGTCGCTTCAACAGCTGACTATGAATACATGAATTCAAATGCAGCCGTCCACACATGATTCAATAATACAAGGTTAGATAATTATTGACAGCTGCGGTTTGACACTCCCTTACAAAAGGTTGCATTTACGAAGGACAGAGAAAGGGCAAGAATGCAATCCCTTGTTGCGAAAATGGTAGTAGAAAAGTACGCAAAGTAGGCAATTAGTAGTGAAATTCCTTTTGTAAATTCTAATGTATTTGCAGGAAATCTGGCATTTTAAACGAAATGTTGAACGTAATATTGATATATCTACGTGAATTACGTAATTTATATGCTATTTAGCCGTATAAAAACTGCAAAATGACTCAAAATTAAAATAAGACTACTATGAGATTGATGTAAACATCCAATGCTTATGTTTTCATCAGTTAAATATGCTTCATATGCATATACAAATAAACATATTGCACAAAAGCTTATACTTTTATTTCACACCAAAGCTACACTGTTTCCATGTAAATTTGCAAAGAAGCAACACTGTGCCACTGCTAAGGGAGCGGTGCGAGAGAGACAACTGTCAGTTTATCGAACCTTGTATTATTGAATCATGCCGTCCACATAGCCAAAATTCGGCAACGCTCACGCCAACACAAAGCAAAAAGATGGCCAACTCTCATCTTTTCGCGTGCGTTGCTCGTCAGCTGTTGCAAATAAATAAAATTTTGTGAAATATTTTCCCTTTTTAATCAAGTGCGGGAAAGAAATATCGTTTTTAATGCAATTATTGATATGAAATATTAATTTATCTGTCGTTAGTATGTTAATTTAATGGCCCAAGCATTCGGTGCCATGCGTTCATTGTAGCAAGCATACTTTTAACGTGCATTCTGTCAAACCAACGCCAACGCCAAAGCCAACGCGAAAATTCTATGTGGACCGGCCTTAATTTTCTGACGGCAACATCTGTGTTTTCGCGCCATCTGTGGGTCATCAGCGTGAAAATTGAAAAGTACGTTCCCTGCCAGTGATCGGAGTCCACTCCGATCATGGACATTTTAAGCCGCTTGACTTTAAATCAATTCCGTTTTTTTACTCATGCTCTGCACCTCTTCGTCTATTTTTTGAGTGTTCGCCACCAGATTTCAGTAAAAAAATAAAGTTAAGACAAAATTCACTGACAGAAAAAAACTGGTTTATAGAAATGAATCAATAAAGAGTAATTCTCTAGTATAGGGTAACCACAGCTAAAAAAAAGGTTCGGAAAAGTCGGGAGGCGACGCGTTTCGGTCACCCTATTAACAATCCGGAGGGAGAGAGCTAATATTATTAACCATTTAAAAGTTGTTAACAAAAAACTTTTGTTAAATTTCGTTGTTTTGTATGGCCAAATACCCCGACAAAAATTCACTAAATAACCTTTTCTCAATTTTTAAACACTATTAAAATATATAATTCAACTTAATTATCAAACAAACACATAGTTTTATCAACCTATGGCAAAGAACATAGTGACGCGACAAAGAGAGCGACAAGAAATTTTCGGATAATAGCGAAGAAAGAGGCAAGAAAGTGAAGCAACAGTCTGCTCAGAAAGTAACGAAAACAAAAACAAACTCCTCTTTTGTTATATTTCCCAAAAACGTATACTTTTCCAAGTGTTTAAACTGAATGACGGTTTCAAGATTTTGATATAGTTGTACCTGTTTTTAAGAAAAGCCTCTCGAAAGGGACAGATGACCCAACAACCGTTATGTATAGACGGCTTGCTTATATAGCTGCGGAAATGTAGTGCGCATATCTTCCCATTCCTCTAGGGGTGCTTTTCAAAGACGACGCTGAAGCATAATAAGGGCCGGTTACTCAATGTCGGATCGGAGGTAGAAGCTCCGGTAAAATACAACGACTGCTTTATCGATCACATATTAGATGCGTTCCAGCGATTTTTGGACTAAAACCTGTAGAACTGTCAAACAGCAAAATATCTCTCATAAGGGAGAGCAATGGTCGAAGAATTGAGAAAAACTGCTGGACCGCGAAAACCCATTTCCTGCAGGTATATAAATGTTAGATGTTTGTTTACGAAATTATTAATTCAGCCAAAAATTCTTACACACAACATTTTAAGATTTCTTTATTTTGGTAGAATTGGCTTCTATTCTGCTAAAAATACTTCTTATAAATTGAATCAGCTCTTTCACTGTTTACGAATGCAATTTGCATTTGACAGTTTTCATGAATTCGCAGGAAGAAAAACTGCGGACTAAATCCTGCAACTTCTTACTGAGAGTAAGCATATTTTACTCTCACGAAAAAGCTCTCAGTTACAGGAAATTTGTCAGCTGGAACGATTTTCGGATGATGTCGAAAACGTCGATAATGATGTTTAACCGGCAAGTAGTGATAACCAGACATTGAACAACCGGCCCTAATACTTGCACTGCTATACCATTTTACGTAAAAATCAAAACCCAACAGAATTGTACATTTTAAATGCTATGCGTTTGGTAACCGCTTACACGCAAAGCCCATATAATAGATTCTTATGTGACAACTCTCATGTAACGTTAAGTATGCATAACTGGGCTATAACTTTTGCACTTCCGATACAAGTACTTTTTTCGATACCTACTTGGATCGCAGTAAAAACTATCGAGTACAAAAATAGTTGGTAACTTGAGAAAGGTATCGAGTATGTACTTGGATTTACCATGGATTTACCAGAGAACGTTCTCTGCATTTACTTGTATCGATTCCTCCCTATCTACAGCTGATATGTGATAAACAAAACAAAATAGAAAAACGTGCATTATTCCTTTGCAAAACAAGTCACAATTATTTAAATAAAAAAATCTGCATCACAAAAATGGGAAATTCCAAGCAAAAGGAAGCAGGAGGTAAATCCATTTCGAAAAATCCAACCATGAAACGCAAACCGTCTGCTCATAGCAAGCCACAAAATAAATCCAACAAGTCTCACATGGCCGACAGAAAAATGCAGTGGCGCAGAAAAAAGCCGCAGGACGAGGTATTTTTTCAATTTTCATAAAGTGTGATTATTTTATTAAATACCTTAAACAATAGGCTCGAAAGCAAAAAATTAAAGAGCGGCAAGAATTAAGAGCTCAAAAAATAGCAGAGGCAAAAGCTGAAAAAGAACGGGTCCAACGAGAAAAGGAGGAGCGTGTGCGTAATTATAAAAAGAAGCGTTTAGAAAGGACAAAAGCATTTAGTAAAAAAACACACCGTGGACAACCGCTGATGAAGGATCGCATGCAACTCTTGCTCAAGCAAATTCAGGAAATGAAGCGTACCGGATAGTAAAAATGAAAGATGAATACATATAAGTAAATAACTTCATAAATTTTACTTAGTATGTGCATACCTATTTGTAGAAATAGTTTTTAATAATAGAATTTAAAAATAACATGCTCTGAATTAAAAACAAGTTGCTAATACAGGGCTTAATAAGTGGTAGATATACATACATACATATATATACATAGCTGGTAGATATTCACATACGTATACAAAACCGCGTATAAAGTTAATGCAAAACCTCGTTGTGAGGTTGCCAACATTTTACAGGAGTTAGTAAAACCTGTATTTTTTTCAAGACGAGTCTGTCCTCTATCGCTAATTATCTCTTATATAAGTATTGATATTATAGTATGAATGGATAAGGGTTTGGGTCAAGAGATTCCGCTGAGCAAAAGTAATTTTTGGCTCAAATGTCAGTTACGAAGTTTTGCAGGACCACGATAAGTGGTTTTGTTTTTTAAACGACGATATGTACATAATATGTACGTATACATAAGTTGGTATTAACGGCAAGTGTTTAGGTATTTTCCAAACCTACTTGCTGAATGAAATATGCAGATATACCTCGATTTTAAACTCCGATATTTTTGGCGTGAAATAATTTTAATTTTCAATCCAAGCAGAAAAATTTTTTACATTTCACCAATAAAAATCAAATCTATTTTTATAAAATTGCCTAATAACTAAATTCTCAAAATGGCGCAAAATTTCCTGTACATGTTTGAATTTGTGGTCGATGATCTACTGATAACACGGCCCAATCATTGCGCCCCAGAAGAGTTCCCTACGTGCTGTGAAATCTGCTTTCGGTCTAGCGTTTTTGTTTCGATTTGTGATCGCGAATTCGGTCAATGCGTAGACATTTGCGCTCCAAAGTGTGGAAAATGCTGTCTATTCTCACTGGAGTCACCAGTAACGGAAAAAGATCGTCTGATTATTCACATCTACAAGAAGAAGACCGATAAATGCAAATTCCTTGTCGGTGCTACAGACATTCCCATTAAGCCACTTTTCGATAAAGTAACGGAAAGCTTCAATATCGAAAATCCCAACTGGATGGAGCAATTGGCCAAGCATACGGCCCGTATGCCTTATCCGAAGACTTCATCCAAAACCACTGTCGTCGATAACGATTGCGATGAAGATAGTAGCGGACGGCCTGAACAAATGTGTCCTACATCAGAACTTACCAAACGATTGTTGCCCCTCTTCAATATGCAGCACAAGCAAACCGGTAATTTGGTGCTTATAATGCGTCTCGTGTGCAATGGGCCAACGATTGTGTCTAGCTTCCCATTCTCACGCATTTGTTCAACGGGATGTGCCAAGAAAACTACACCATGTCCCTCTAATTGCGCGGCCATAGAATCGCCGCAGTCACAAGGAGTTTGCCCGATGCCGGATCCTTGTAAAAAGGAAGAAAAGAATGCTCCTGTTTGTCGCAGGTACTTTGCCTGCAATGCAGACAAGGGTTGCCCTTGCGAAGAGTGCGAAGACTATTGCGACAGGGGTAAGATTTCGTTTAAGATTCTATGTAAAAACAATGTCAATAAAAGATCAATATAAAATCAAATTTATCTCCACAGAATGTCCTAGTGGATGTAAGAAAAAGAAAAATCGGGCTCCGCAAAATAACTGCTGCCCAGCTCCAGTGCCGTACTGCTCGCCACCGCCTCCGTGCTGTCCACAACCGGATCCTTGTCAAAAGAAAGAACAACGCACGGATATGTGCCAACGATATTTTACCAATGAACGTAAGGGCTGCACCTGCGACGAATGCATGGATGAATGTGAGGCGGGTAAGTGCCTTAAAATTATAAGTATACCTTTGTACTGCTGAAGTGGATCGTACCCTTTTTGTTGCATATATGTACATACATATGTATTTTTAAATTCTTAACTCATGGTGAAATTATAAACCATGCTCTTTAGTCATATATTTTTCCCAAATACAAGTTTTTCCTTCAGAAACTAAAAATATTAAAACTTCAACTTAAAAATTACTTTTCAATATGGACGTAATGCTTCAACAATTGCTTGCGATTTATTTATGCGCACCCGATATTTTTTTTTCGTCCTTTTGCGGCCACTGATAACGAAACGGGTGCGATTCCATAAAATTCGTTGCGCAAATTTCTCGATATATATTTTTTAATTATAGCCAAAGCTAGAGCATTACGGAAACTGCGCTATTTAATGCAAAAATATGCTGGACAAAATTGAAAAAATTTAGTTTTCAAAATTCAAGATAAAAAATCTTAAACTTATAAAAAAATCAGTAAACTTTGAATTAATACTTTTTTCCAATAAAAAAGATGATGAAAAGGGTATGCTCTTTAATTCCGCACTGTATTTAGCCGTATTTACGGAACTACTTAGCATTAATTTTACCTGTATATTCGTGTAATAGGAAGCAGCGAAGAAGATTCCGACTCATGCCAGCAATGTGGCCCACCGCAGATTATGCCTCCGTGTTTTGTTGTGCCCACTAAACCAGAACCCGGTCCTGAGGCCTACGAGCAGTTTGAGGCTTGCCTAAATGGTAGTGGCCTAGTAATACGTGTTCTCAAGAATACTTACGTAGTGGAAAGTGCTGACGATGGTATGCAGCAGGGTGGTCACGATAGTGGAAGTGATTGCGAGGGGAAGAATACGAAGGTAAATATAAGTTCGAATTGTGTAGGTCGCTATACAAGAATTGGATATAACATACCTCCGATTTGATTTCTAGCACTTCTTTAAATTTCATTAAATTTAGTTTTGCTTTATTTTATTTAAAATTTGTTTTAGCATGTATGTATGTAAGTATATTTGTTTGGGTCTAATCTTGCAATCGAGTGTTGGATAATTCTTGCTGGATTTTCGACGAACAAACCTAATTTTTAATAACTTCCCGAGGAACTAGCAACTTGAAATTTCAAACTTAGCTCAGAACCCGGTGACAATACTATAGGACAGATGAATTAATGCGCTAGTTCTTTGAAAACCACCTATTTATAATCCCATTCGGTTCAAATTTGAAACGTATATTACCTATATAATGTGACCAACCGTACTTCTTACGGAAGTACAGAACTTCTTTTTGAGCCGTTGTACTTCGAAGTACAGTCAAATGCACTTTGCAATATTTAGTACTTCCCAAGGCAAATTGTACAGGTAGTATCAGTAGAACAGCTGATTTGATTTTTATTTTTTATTATTCAAATTATTCGGTCTCTAAAATGTCAAATATTTTTAATTTCTTTTCCCATACAAAACAAGCGATTGAAAACTTTAGGAACGTTCACCTAACTCCGCAGCACAAACGCTGATGCCTGGGCCTTGCAAATGATGGATCAATGCTTCGAGAAGCAAAAAAAATTGCTAAGAAAGAAAGTCGCACCAGTTTTTTTCCAAATTTAATTTTTAATTTTTACTTTTTTGTATTTCTCATGGTACTCTTAGATTTACAAGAAAAAAATCAGAACAGTTTTTGACACTTTCGATAAGAGATGCAACAACAAAATGCACATAAATGTTGCAAGTGGTTTTGATTACTTACATCTTTGAGTCTCTAACTCGCAAAGGAAAACCGAAATAATTACACATTTATCGAGAGTGTAAAACAGTTCGTCGGCAATGATTTTTTAAGTTATTTTTTGTTTTTAAATTAAACTGTTCAAAAATATTGTTCCCAGCATACCAGCTAAGTCTGCAGAGAGCACAATTGATGAGGGAGACTGCGAAAAGAGTCCCAAAGGAGCATGCTCGCAGGAGAAAAGTGCATTCTCAATATATGTACATACATATATAAAAAAAGTGTACCTTTAGGACTACTTAAATAAGTGATTTCAGTGCCCCAAAAAGCAAAGGCTCCTATTCACCTATGATTTTGTGAGAAAGACTCCTTAAATCCTCCGATGATAACCAAGACGGAGTGTTTTCGCTGTGTTCTGATAATAGACCGGAAAGGATGCTTTATGGTTTTTTCAAATGTTCTTAATTTTGTTTATAATTAATAAGTGTAAAAGTTTTTTTTCCATTTTTTTTTATTGAAAAAACGCTAAATTAAAAAAAATTCTGAAAGAAATCAAACAAATATTTTTTACCTTGTTTAAAATACGTTCCTTTTAGGTTTGTAACCACTTTGCTCCCGTTTTATGGGATTCTTTGCCAGTACCGGCATACTTTCTAATAAATATACCTGAAAATACCTAAAATTATGTTGGATTTCCACTCGGCAAACATATTAAAGACAAACTTGGGCATTAAAAAATATTCTTGTCATTACCTTAAAAAAATAGTCATTAAATCGATTTCCACATGGCACTTTTTAAATGCCTTCAACTTTTTGTAATTTCAATGCCTAGTGGAAATTCGACATTAGACAAAAGTAATTTTCTATGCATTAAATGCATTTGAAACTTCCATAACATCAACATTTCTTTTTTGCGGTGTCCCTTTTCAGGAATATTCGGAAACGACGATCAATTTCTTCTTGATTGAAATTTTCTTTCTAGATTCACCGACTTGATAACAAAACAAGTAATTTTTAAGCAAAGAACAAAACCGACTTCAATTCTCATATACAAATTTAAGATTATCGTTAATTTTTTCACGAACCAATTATCTGATTTAAACAAAATTAGTATGGGACCACCTCTGAGTTACCACCTTTCCGATGAAAAATTCAGCCTCATTGCGTAAGTCGTAAGCGAGGTTAAATTGTATGACTCGACAACAGTAGCATTGTCTATTGTCGTAAGTAAACGATCAAAATCGTCGAAAACTATACAGTGCTGCCGAGTTTTTCCGTTTTAATACACTAGTCGAGTGGAAATTTTAGGCAATGACGTGAAATTTTCGTTACGATTCGACTCTCGAAAAACGACTTGCATTCGACACGACTGTCGCAATGAGGGTGATTATCGATATCGGTTAACGTGGTCCAAGTAACGTGGTAACATACATAATGAAAAAATATTCCGACGAACTGATAACCTTCTCCTTTTTGTGAAGTCGATTAAAAATACTTTATATATTCGGAGCGCTCCGAAAATACTGATTGGGCCTCTCTTCCCCCTCTTATCCACACAAAACCGGTTTCAGGCGGACTGAGCAGTCCGGTGTGCGGAGGCCCATTCGAGGTGTTGCTGTGGGCGTTTGTGTGTGGATTTTTTGCGTTCCTTTACTTTTCCTGTTATTTTCTTTTAGTGAGCGCATTTTGCTTACGCTCTGGCATTTTGAGACTTTTCAGATTTTAGTCCAAAAGGATAAGGAATGAACCTATTAATGATATATCTTATGTACTTGCATATTAACTTATTTTTATAAATCATTATATTTTTTTACATTTACCTTCAGCAAAACAACAACCAATGCGAGACCTTGAACGAGATTCTACAACGCAGTAGTTTCGCCAAAAATCATGTCAAGCGACGCACAAATGGTTACATCATCAATGGCCCGAGGCTGCCGAAAATCCGCGCTAACATCAAATACTCCGCAAATGATTCATGCGAACCGGAAAACTATTGTCTACCCTTCAATAAGATCAAATCAATATGTAATGCAGATCAAAAACTAGAGCTCTACCGTCGTAAAGGACCCTGCTGTGACGACGACAGTTGTGGTCCCATCGCACCACCATTGCCTGCACGGGATATACGAAACTGCTGCCTACAAGTAGATCCTCAAGATATTAAAGACACTTTGAAGGGCATAAACACAGATACCAGAAAAAAGGGTATTGAGGTAAGGCGATAAATAAATAAAATACTTACAAACG